CTTGTCCATTCCAGGGATAAACACCCAGACACAAACTGGGCAATGTGATATATGCAGTATAATGCATCTGTACATTGGAGAAACAAAACAACCACTTCACAAACACAGGGCACAACATAAGAGAACAAACCTATCAGGACAACATTCAGCAGTCCATCTGCATTTGAAAGACAAAGTCTACTCTTTTGAAGACAGCAAAGTCCACATTCTGGATGAGGACTGCTGATTTGAAAGAGGGGTTAAAGAGGCCATCCACATTAAAATTGAACAGCCATTTCTCAACAGAGGGGGAAGGATACAACACTACCTATTTACAACAACAGTTCCAAGAAGGTTCCACACCCATTTGCACTATTCAGGTGATCTGTAAGGGCATAGATAAACCTCTAAGTGGCTTCAGTGACTCTCAGAAAGAGTGCTAATGGCCAGATGATTCAAAGAATAGAAATCCTTCCATTCCCCATTTAGTCAGAACCGAAGAAGAAGCTTCTTGGATGAAAAGTGAATTGTCTTCAAGAAAAAACAAAGAAAGACCAGTTGCCTCTTGAAAAAGCACCTTTGTAACAACCATGAACTGGATGACTGACAATCTCCATAGACTTCCAGATTTTAATCTCTTCCTCCAGGTTAGTCCAGTGATGGGCAAGTGTTCTGCCAGGCTACAATTAACACGGTCTCTGACTTACAGACTCCCTTGCTTTTTTCCCTCTCCCACCCATGCATGTGTCAATTGCTTCCCTTTTGGTGGGATGGCTTTTGTGAACTGGTAAAGGACAGTGGGAAAGAAAGCAGTTTTAAGTCCTTCTTATCATTTCTTTCTTCAATCCAGAGGCTCTAATCTCATGGTGCTTAATTATCCATGCAAATAGTTTGGTCTTTAATTTTGGAATACTTGACATCCTGAACCATAATTTAACTTTTATCTATATTTGAACAGTTTCCCAGGCTAAAATGCAATCAACTGATTTATGGCTCTATGTATTGTCAACCCAAGTAGGGATTCACATTTAAGGCAGGAATGACGGGAGGTGAATCTTCATAATGATTCGGCTTCTTTCATTGATGGCAGGTTTTACGTGGCAACTGCAGACACTCAGACCATGCAATATGTGGAACTTACTGGTCTATGTTGGCTTACTGGCCAAGAAGAAGAGTAGTATAAAGTGTGGAGAGAGTAGCAATGGCAGTGGTTCCCCAAACCATCTATCACACCATGAGGGTGAAAGGTCCTTAGATTTCATAAGACCAATGTCACAGAGTCTATCTCTCTTGAGCATTGTGAAACTATATTCAAAGTTATTTGTCGCTAAAACTTAAACTATCTGCATTTAGATATGTTTAAACATTCTTTCACAAGCTTGTAAATCTTTAAATCCCAAGATTTAGTTTTAAGGCTTAAGTGCCATTGAATAAAGTGCTATTTCCCAACTAGTATCCTGCAAGTTTTATGTTTTAGGAAATTTCCTTCAGGAATTCCTGAATCAGAATAAACCAGATTCATTCGGTTTATCTCCATATCTGTTATTATTAGTCTTACTGGTGTATGATATCTCCCTTTTCTAATATGGCATTCAACTATTATTGTATAGCAAATAATTTTAGCAAAATATCTCTGTTATGGGTTTACACTGATCCATTAAATCATTATTACATATATAAACAAGAACATGACTCTTTTGGTGTGGTTCAACTATATTTGTTATGTGTATGCACGTCATGCATCAAGTGTGATCCTCAAAAGCTTATGAAATAATATATTTATTATCTTAAAAAAACCACAAGTCTCTTTGAGCCTTCTGTCATTGCTGAGTTAATGTGCTATCCTTGAATTGGCACAAAACTATTCGGGCATGAAATTTGTTGTCCCCAATGCAAATTTTACTCCTATCTCTATTGCTTTTTCCCCAGACATTGCAGTCACTCCAGGATATTGGGTAACATAGCCTAATAGAGTTTATAACCATGAGACTGATCTTGGGAAGCATCAGAAATAAAGGAGAAAATATTATTTGGCACCAATCAAGCAATGAATGACTTAAGTCTATTTCACACATGGGCTGATTATGAGATGAAGGTCATATCATGGGAACATGATGAAAAATGATATTGCCAGGGCATATTCACAAGTAGGGAAAGATGGTTATTGTGTTGGCTGCAAAACATCAATACAGCTACTTCCAGAAATCAATTTTTATAATGATTTTATTAAACAGTACAATTAAGAAGAAAAAACCCAACGCAATGTAAAATATATATAAAAGAATAAAAAGTGCAGAAAAGAAAAAAGTAAAGAAAAATATATAAGAAAATGACTTTCCCCTTCATCATGTATAAACAATTTTAGTAATTTAAAATGTAGCAACTGATCTTTCATATCTCATTTCTTATCTATAAATAAATCTTTGAAGCCTCATTGTTCAATCCTAGTCAAGAAAAGTTCATTAACCTTACCAAAGCTACCAATCTCCTTTAATACTGATTAAATAAACCAACTTAATTAATTAATTAACTAATTCAATTTCTACAGCTGCCCAATCCAACTAAATGACTCAGGACAACTTACAATTCTAAAACTATAAAACAATGAAAAAATAAATAAAACAGTAAAAACATCCACAAAATGCCTCCTTTTTAACAATCTTGATCTTCAATCCCTTCAGATAATGATGAAACTTGATACATTTTCATTTTTTTCTTTGTCCCCCAAATATCCTTCAATACGCCCAATGTTGAAGTGTTTTATTTCATTCTGGCTTCGTAAGATAAATTTAAGTGTTCTCAAATTGTAATCTTTCGTTCCTTCTAGCTTCCTTTAGGTTCCAATCTTCAAAGTCCCACCCAATCATGTTTTTTTATAAGATTTCACAACAGCAGCATTTTTCCATGGGGGGGGAGTCTTATAATTCATTTCAAAATCTTATTTCACATTCATCTGGACCCTTAGTCCATTTAGGCTGCATTATAAGTGTAAGTTTGGTTGAAATCCCTTGACTTCCAGCTTCTTGATTCACAAGCTGTTCATAGAAAAAAAATCAGTATCTGCAGTCCATTCATGAGAAGCAGTGTCCAGAATACAAGTGGGCAATTTCACAATCTCTCCTTTTTCTAGAGATATTTTGCTGATCAGAATTTATTGTCTGGCCACTGATCTCCACCACAATGTCATCCCTATTGTTTCAGGGACATCTAACTCCTAAAATCATAAATTTAGTTTTCATTGTTTAGACCAGACATGTCAAACACAAGGCCCGGGGGCCGGATGCGGCCCACGAAGTGGTTTCATGTGGCCCGTGAAGCCATCCTGGAAACAGTGAGGGAATGGCCCCCGCTGCCTTGGCCCTGGCCCAGGCCAGCCGGGAGCCAATGTACAATTTTGTGGTGGCCATCTATGCTGAAACACATTCAGTCTGAGCTCCACAAGGCCGTCTGGAAACAGTGAGGAACCAGCCCCTGCTGTGTCGGCCCCGCCCCCTGGGTGTATGTTGGGGAGGTGTCACTCTTTGTGAGGAATGAAGAAATGGACCGTGCCTTGGCGCTTGCCCCGGTCCCACCCCCTTCTGCCAGAGACCCTCAAATCTGTCCCACTCCTGCTCAGGCTCCCAAAGGCACTCTTGATGCGAACGATGTAGAGCTGGCCATGTCCACCCAGTAGGCCACACCCACTCCATCCACGCCCACCCAGTAGGACGCACCCACCCTGGCCACATCACCCGCCCCCCCAAGGGCAACTGCAATGCTGATGTGGCCCTCAATGAAATTGAGTTTGACACCCCTGGTTTACTCTAGGACTTTTGCAGATAGAGTGCAATACCATTAATTATTTCATCGAAGTCAGTTGATAAGCAGTAACAGAGGTTCATTCTAAAAGGAAGGGGCTAGGATGGCTCAAAGTGGGATAAATAATAGGCAAATATAACTACTATTTCTTTTTCACTGCACAAAGGGAGTTTTGTTTGTAGCAGAATTGGTTCCAAAGGGGAAGCAAAAAATTAAGTCTTCTCTGCAGGAAGTCCTTATTTAGCTATGGGTGTCCTTAAACTTTTAATGGTGAATCAGCTGTTGAAATGAATTTCCATCTTAAACTTAGCCTATGTATATATACAAATGAATTTTATAATATGAAATATTGCAAGGCGCCTTAGACTTCCAGACAAGGCAACTGAGCTTAAATGGAACAGTGTACCTACAAACTTTATCACAGATTAGAAGTTAGGTCCATGTGAATAAAATTTAGTGCGATGCATGAAATTTTAAAACCATTCAGGGTACAAATAAAATAATAAAATAAAAACAAAATTAAATAAATTCTGATATAGATGAAATGGCTGCATAAATAATTTTAAACTATAGAAACAATAGATCAAATTGCTAATCCAATTTCCACCAAAATGTGAATAAATGGCAGTTGCTGAAAATGACTATTTAAAATCCCTTAAACTGCAGAAGCTAGTTTTTAATAGTTGACTATATACTTGCTGAACAAAGAGCTGTGAGTTGCTTTACAGAGGTAATGTCCTTCACAAATGATTAATAACAATATTTGGTGCATGTTACCACTTAGCCAAATGATTATTTTTAAAGAACAATTCCACTGAATTTTGTGGGATTGAAAAATTAGCCTTTTTAACCAGATTATTGTTTATTTTAGCAGCTACATCAGTAAGTGTGGCACAAAAATTTCAGTGCAACTTGACAACCGAAGACTAAACTATTGATCCTGATAGGAAAAAAAACCTCCTATAGAACAATTGTAAAATAAACTACAATGCAGGTTGAGCAGACATATTAAATCAATTTCATCCTTATTTGAAGTTCCTGTAGTTCCAGCTGTCATTTTAAAAGTTGGATTTCAGATTTTAAAATCTCAAAAGACTGAGTACTTGTGAAATTCCTAATATCATCCAGCATGCTGCTCCAAGTTTTCTTAATAGAGTTATCAAATAATAGCAAGAAAAAGGAAAGAAATTTGAATTGATTTTAACATCTTCTCTTGTACTTACCAGTTGTCTTACTCATATTTTTTTTCAGCTTTGCTCCTGCAGGTTTTGCAAGAGGCAGCAGGAATTGTAACAGGTTTCGTGTTATCTGTTTTTGAATGGGCCAAAGGAACATTTCTCCTTTTATCAGGTTTGCCGTGGTGTCAGTGTACATTGCTAATGGGTGGGGATACAATGAGGGAACTGAAACGTAAGATTGACTTTAAAAGTTTACAAAATACATTAAACATATTAAGGAGATTACACAAAGATCATTTAGATAAATGGCTTTTCTGAAATAAAAGAAAGTCAGCTTTCATTCACAAGAGGAAGCTATTACATGAAAAAGATGTAGAATGGAATATGTTAATTCCTAACAAACGATTGTCAGAAATCATTTGTTCCTTATAGAAACATAGTTTCTCCAACAGGTCAAAGGTTTAATAGCAGAGCCATACACATTTCAGATTTTGGAAAGGCATGTATCATTTTGAAGGCAATATATGTAACATTTTTCTGCAACTTTTTAAAGCAGGGGTGTCAAACTACCAGCCTGCGGGCCGGATGCATCATAGCAAAACCGTGCCCATCCCATTGTTGCGATACGTTGCAACACACATCACATGACATTGTGAGTTTGGCACCCAATTTAAAGCATTCACATTTTTCTCTCAGGTAATACAAATAGTCCTTGACTTATAATTGTATCTGAATCTAGAATTACAGTGGTTAAGTCATTGCAATTATAAGTGTCCAGTCATTTTGTGTGAGATGAGTGAATATATAAATTTAATAGATAGATAAATGTGTTCAAGCAGAAGCTAGATAGGCTTCTGTCATGGATACTTCTTGTATTTAACAGGAGGTTGAACTCAATGGCCTAAATTCTGATTTCATATTAAGTACATTTGTCAAGTGTCAATAATTTTCAGAAGTCATATTTATTTATTAATGAAAGAAAAAACTTTTCACCCTTAACATAAATATTATCTTGTTTGATTTTTGGTATGGGATGATGTGCCATTATGATTTGCAAACCATAAGTATGTTCTCTACCTGTTTGACCATGAAATTCACAAGCGTTTGGAGGCCAGATCAGGGAAGAAAGGATTAATGTGTTATCCAGTCCAGGCAATTCTGATACCAATGTATAAATTCTAAGATTTAAACTTTAATATAATTCCACATCAATATTCAGTCTTTTCTTTTTAAAGCACAGCATTGAGGAAAGAGATTGAGGAAGATTATATGCAGTATATTCTATTCATGGCTCCTCTTCCTGCTTGGTGTCTTGAGTATTGAAGAAATATGTAATATGGTAATGGGGTAAAATATGGTAATGGGGTAAAAAATAAAGGGCACTTTAAGAAAACAATCTAAAAAACAAAAGCGAATGACCAGTAGGAGGCAAAGCCAATAGAGATGGAATCACAAACATGTATACTCATGAAGAGTGAGTGGGTCAAGAGGAAGGGAAAGAATGAGAAATTTGTGAATGAGTTGAATAGTAAGATGTTTCAAGCATAAAAAGAAATGTATGAAGCAATGCTTGAATGTGGCTGAAGAAAAATAGTTTATAAAGATAACAAGGTATGGAGAGGCATAGTGAGTTGGTTTCGGGTAAATTAGATTAGTTCTATTTCTTTTATTCTTATGGTGAAGCTTTAATCTCTTTTCCTTTTTGCTTCTTACTTCTATGTATAAGTCTTATATATGAGGGCAATTCGGAAATAAACCTCCATTTGGTTATCAATGACAGACACTCAAAGATTAAGAACTTTTATTATACACATTAGAAAACTACAACATTACATTATTTTTTGACATAATCGGCATTCAAATTGAGGCACTTGTCATAACGTCTTACAAGGTTTGAAGTTCCTTAATAATAGTTGCTCGGTGCAAAATCTGGGCTATGGGGGAGGGGTATCATCAAAAACATCCTAACAGAACTGCTTCAAAAGTTCTTGGGTGCGTCTAGTGGTGTGTGGGCATTATTGTGAACCAACACCACACCGGAAGTTAACATATATTGACACTTCTTATGGATGGCTCGTCTGAGTTTTTGTAACGTTTCACAGATTTCTGTGAATGGTCGAACCACAACCCTCCATGAACTTCACTAGCAGTACTCCTTTGGCACCTTCACATTTTGCGGGATTTTCTATGGCACCACTTCCGGTGTGGTGTTGGTTCACAATAATGCTTGCCCGCACACCGCTAGACGCACCCAAGAACTTTTGAAGCAGTTCCATTGGGATGTTTTTGATGAACACCCCCCCCCCCCACAGCCCAGATTTGGCACTGAGCAACTACTACTAAGGAATTTTAAACCTTGTAAGACATTATGACAAGTGTCTCAATTTGAATGCCGATTATGTCAAAAAGTAATGTAGTTTTCTAATGTGTATAATAAAAGTTCTGTATCTGCAAGTATCTGTCATTGATAACTGAATTGCCCTCATATTTCTCACTATATATGTATAACAAGTTTTGTGTAATAAAGGCATCAGGCTGGAGACCATGATGCCTTAACTACACCACCAGTTTTAATCTTGCCCTAGGTATAAAGCCAGCTGGGTGACCTTGGTTTAGTCACATTCTTACAGCCTTAGGTAGGAGACAATAGCAAACTATTTTGAAAATATTTGCCAAGAAAATTTCAGGGACTTGTTCCGGCAACCTCTGAGAACAGGATATGATTAAACGGGAAAAAAAACATTGTGTATGTGTGGGAACTGCTAGAATAGATACAGAAGTTTGCATTTATTTTAGATAAATGTTGAGACTTTTCTAACTTTACACGACTTCCCACCCTGGATAAGCAATACTATCAATAGGAAGAAAAAGAAACACACCCTCCAAATAAACATCGTTGAAGTACATATTTGATATGTCAAATTTACTTGTTTTTATATAGAGAATCTTGAGTTTCACCTCAGAGATCATTCTGAGTAAAGATTTTTTTTAAAAGGCAGCAGTGTAAGGCAGAAAAAGGTGATCTGTATCTCTCCAGAGCTTTGGCATATTTCCCACAGCCCATCAAATATCACATATTTCATCACACTGAATGGAAATTATTAAGTAATCTAACTATATTAATTTAAACCATTAAAAAACATTGTCCTGGCTGTAACTACCAGGCGCACAGCATAAAACTCACTGTTTTAAAACTTGTAGATGTTTCTTAGGATGTAATAAATTAGAAAATTAGAAAATTCTCAAAAATTTAAAGCCATGGAACTAAGTTTGTAAGTGTTTTCAATTCCAACAGTAGTCTATTTACAGGTTGAATGTAAATACACGTTTCCTATGACTAATAACTTCTAGACTGGTTGGGCCATAAAGGATTATGGGAGTTGAGTGCAACAGCCAGAAGTAGAGATATACAACTGGAATATATTTAACCTCATACCTATAGATAACCCAATCTAGCAGCTTCATGCAGAATGGAGAAAGCATATGGGCAAAAAAAGTTTGCCAAGAGGCAGACTTCTCTTGCCCATATTCGAACCTGCCCTAGAAAAAGAAAGTTCTGTTTGCAAAAATTAACAATAAAACAGACCAAAATCAAATCCTGATGGAGGGATGGAGAAATATCCAACAGCAAAGAACCTGAGTGGTATTATTAGTCCTAGACCTAGGTATTAGTCCTAGACCTAGGTATTTGCAAGACCGCCTCCTACCAAACACCTCCCTTCGACCAGTCCGCTCCCACAGAGAGGGCCTTCTTAGAGTGCCGTTGGCCAGACAATGCCGGCTGGCGACCCCCAGGGGGAGAGCCTTCTCTGTGGCAGCTCCTGCCCTCTGGAATGACCTACCCCCCGACCTACGTACAGTTGCAGACCTGCGCCTTTTTCGCTGAGCCCTGAAGGCCCATCTATTCCGTGCGGCCGGCCTGGTGTAGTTTGATTATGTTTTAGTGGGGGTTTTTGTATGGGGTGTTTTTAGAACAGGCCCGTTATTTAATTTGATTTTAGAACAGAAACTATTTATTTATTATTGTGGTTTTTAGTATCGCCTGTTCACCGCCCTGAGTCCCGTAAGGGAGATAGGGCGGTATATAAATTTAATAAATAAATAAATAAATAAATAAATAAATAAATAAATAAATAAATAAATAAATAAATAGATGGGACTAACACAAAAACTCACAAACACTTGTTTTGATATTAAAAAGATCAAAAATAGTTAAATTAAGATTTCAAAGGAAACATTTATTTTTATGTTGAAATTCATCTTCTGAACTATTTTTTTTAAAGTGTGAGTACATTATAAAATGGGAACAAATTTTAAATTTTTACAGTTGACTTTGCATATTGTTCTAATTATGTAGCTTTGACTTTGAATAAAAGCAGCCCATTTTTCTGATAGGAATTTTTCTGTTAAGTACTCCATGTTGCATTAATCTATAGTTGGTTGATTATATTAAACCGGTGGCATTCACAAAGCATGTCTAATCATATATTTTTTTTAAACAAGTTTTATTAGTTTTTTCATTTTACAAACAAGTGCTTAAGAATCAACGTGGTGGCAGGGCAATCAATTGTCCACAAATAAAGTCATACTCATAAAGTTCAGATTAAATCATTAAAAAACCCCTCTCTTTCCCCTCTATTAACATATTATATTCAAGCTAATATAGTTCAATACAATTAAGTCAATCATAACAATCCTCAATAACCTTTCATCTAAATAGATCCATAAATCCAAATCCTGTGTTAAGCTTTACTATTTCAGTTGCTATATTCCATATTTCTAATCTAAATGCACTTCGGGTGTCTCTCCATTACCTTTTTCCTTAACATATTCAGTAAACATTTATTAGTATCATTTCTTCTTTTTTCTTATTCTTCTTCCATTACAAAATAGCTACCATTTCTAATAAAAAAAATATTAGAAAACACAGAAAAAAGAATTCTTCAAATGTAGACTAAGTCCAATAGTAGATTCAATATTAAAAATTTTTTCCAAGACCCCCAAATGAATAAAAAAGAATAAAAATAGAAAAAAAAGTAACTTTAAATTAATTCAGTCCATTTAAGCTTCTTTTTCCCACACTCACAAACGCCGCTTTCTTAGAGCAGGGAAATCATTTCAAAAGTGCTTTTTACAGGCACAAAAGAAAAAGGAGAACCAAGAGAGGGAAAGAAAAAAGTTTCACCCAGCTCAGCCACGGTGGTTCCTGTGCTTAGATGTTCTTCTGACTTCTGGTTACAGCGGCAAGGTGAACGGCCATTTTACTGGCTGGTCTTTCCACCGTCGGCCCAAAGGAACAATCTTGGGCCGTGGAAGAAGCTGTCGCTCTCCCACGGACGACGAGGACCTCCTCAGCAGTAGCCGCCCCTCCAAGGCGGCTTTTCGACCCGATTAAGGGTCTACCGGCAGCGGAGAATCAGCTGGTGAAGAGAGCAGTCTCCTCGCACAGCTGCGAGTGCCGCAATTTGGAACCGGAAGTGCATGTCTAATCATATTGATGTCATCACTTTTATATTTTTGTTGATGTAAATTATTTAAAAATGTGTATTTGATATTTATTTTGGTAATCTGCATTATCATGGATACAATACTGCCAACTCCATCAGCATACAACATACAGTAGACATATTTTGTAATGTGAAAAGAAGTCAATTTGGATTTATTTCTTACTCTCTCTTGTGATTAGTCAGCTTAATGCAGAAAAGGGGAAAACCTATTGCATTTAATACCATATCTTTCTTAAGAATTGTGAACGATCCTTTATTCCAGTTGATCATGGTAAACTATGATAATTATTCACCAAATTTCCTCAAGTGTCACAAATATGATGGCTGTCCTTTTTTCCAAAATTCTGTTTATGGTCACTGTGACTAAAGTATTTTGAGTATCCAGCATAACAATATCTGCTATAAGTACATCATGGCAATTCTGTATTTCCACCAAATCTGGAGTCCTATTTTATTTGTTTATTCCTTTCCTGTGTTATGAATTAAAAGCCTGTTGCATTCTATTTCTTTTTCTCCTTTAGACAGACTTGTTCTAGTAGAGATGGTGAGGTGTGAAGTAACAGAAGTCCAAGAAGGGAAATGAATATTCCGATCCACCATAACAGGTCATCTATTTCTCCAAACAACAACCTTCCTAAAAAGGCCTGTAAGACAAGGTGAAGAATAAGCAATAGTAAAATTGTACTCTGCTCAGTGCGTAAATTCCTCAGCTGCCATACACTGAAAATGCATAGATTATTTTTAAGACATATGCAGAAGCAATAGTATCTTGAACGTATTACAAAAGATTCTTTTTGTACAACATTCAAAGGCTATACAATAATTTAGGATTTAAATATACTGTTCGGAAAGTAGCTAGGGACTAACAGAAGAAATCACCCAATATTACCAACTCACACATGCTTACTAAAACCTCCCTGTTTTTGTTTAGAGAACCGAATTAGGGTGTTAAATTTACCAGTTCCAGAAAGTTCTGACACCAAAATGGATTTTCCAAGTCTGGAGAAACTGTTTGGCTTTGGACTACTTGCAGACCATTCAGAACACTCACAGGTGGTAACAGCAATACAAGGATATTATGATATTCTGCCTTAAAAGGAGGGAAGGAGTGTTCCACCTTTTGGGGCTTTCATCAATCATATGGTCTCACTATACTCACTGAAAAGATGAGGTTGGATGCTGTTGATGTCACAGTTACTGTAGCTGAGGAGGAGGAATATCTTAAAGCTTTAGCAAAGAAAGTCCACATTATGGCATTGCACACAAACACTAGACCACCACAAACTACTCGAAGTATCATGGATACCTGCAGAACAATTGGGAACAAAAACTGTGATATTTTCTATATATCTTACAAACATTCAATTCAAAGCCAGAAACAGCAGATACGCAACCTAGGTAGTACTTAGCTCTAAATATTACATTATTAAATACATTTTTTTTAAAGAGAGAAGGATGTTGTTGCAATGGGCAATCTTATGAAAAGCATTGTCACGGTTCAGATTTGCTTTGCAAATGGCATATCAATGCTTCATTCATCATCTTGTACAGGTAATCCTTTAACCTTTCTTGCCTTTGTTGTTATGTGAATCACAGAAAATTAGTAACATGGTGGTTAAGTCAATCAGGCTTTCCCATGTCTTTGCTTGTCAGAAAATGGCAAAAGGTGTTCACATGATCCCGGGACACTGCAAACGTCAAAAATGAGTCAGTTGCCGAGGGTCTGAAATTTGATCATCAATCATGGGAATGCTGTAAGAGTTGTAAGTGTGAAAAACAGTCATTAATCACTTTTTTCAGTGCTGTTGTAACTTTGAATAATCACTAAATGAATTATTCTAAGTCAAGGATTACTTGTATTTAGTTCTGAAGGTTAAAAGGAACAATCACTTTAAATTGTGCAAAATTGTGCCAAAATTCCTCACTGAAATGGGAGATAATATACAGGTGAATGCAAATAATCCTATCACAGTATGATTGGCAACAGGGCTAAGACCCAGGATAGGAGACTTACCAGATTCTAAGCTTGCGAACAGCTCAAATTAATTATAGCACTGATCATTTTAAAAGTATTTTACAGCTAATCAAGTATCCTGCTGATCATTGGAAGCCACTTTGAACCTCAATCAATGATTTGTTGATCCTCACCCAGTCAACACCTAGCAAAAGAGTCTTTCCCCAAGACACAAGGTTTGCACACCTCATATTTGGAAGGAAGAATCTGCTTTCCTGCTGGTGGACATAAAACGGAGAACTATAGAAATAGAAATGAAAAATGCCCAATTATGGAACGTGAATGGACACTCAGTAACAGACTTGGCTCTACTGGGTATAGATGTACGGTGAGTGTTAATGGAACCCAGGATCCCCCACAATAATCCTAACAACTATCTTTTGATTCAGTATACTTCAGTAAAAGAAACTGTAGTCACTTCATGAAGAGTTTTCCAAGCTACTGAAAATTAAACATTTCTTTTTAATAAATTTACAGACATTTTAAAATTCTGTTTTCCCTTTGTCATTATGGGGTACTGAGTGTAGATTAATGAGAAAAAAATGAATTTCAACAATTGTAGAATCAGGCTGCAGCATAACAAAATTGACAAAAGTGAAGGGGGTGTGAATACTTTCTGAATGCACTGTATGTAGTACTCGACTTTAACAGTTCATTTAGTGATTGTTTTAAGTTATAACTGAAAAAGTAATTTATGTTTGTTTTTCACAAACTGTTACAGCATCGTGATGATAAAAATTCAGATGCTTGGCATATTTATGATAGTTGCAGTGTCACCTTTTGTAACCTTCTGACAAGCAAAGTCAATTGGGACGCTAGATTTATTTAACAGTCATGCTACTAACTTAATAACTGCAATGATTCACTTAACAATTATGGAAAAAAATCATAAAATGGGTCAAAATTCACTTAATTGTCTCCCTTAGTAACAGAATTTTTGGTTCAATTGTAGTCATAAGTTGAAGACTACCTGTATATTCAATTTGATTCGCAACCTTTGGAGAGCCTTTGCTTCCCAAATTAATCAACAATATTTCAATCTAGCCATCACAAACAAAAATATTATTTCAATCCTAAACTTTCAATCTAACTATCACAACAAAAATATTATTCAATAAACTATCTTCAGAACTGGACACTCATAAAGAGGAATTTTTTTAATTTTCAAGATTATTTTAATTTGGAGCTGTCTGGATCCTATATGACACAAAAGATTCCTGGTAAACATTAATTACTCATCCCTGCTTACAGCATCACCAACTGACTCTTGACTAGTCCCTGTAGTTTTCTTAGCAAGATTTTTGCTAATTATTTTCTAATTATAATTATTTTAAGGTGTTTTACAACAAAACTATAAGCATATTATTTTTCCTGCAATGGCTAATTCTGCTTATTCTTCTGAAGCCAGTAATTGTGTGTATTTGCTAGTTACAGCAAGCAAGAATGTTACTTAGTGCCATCTTTAAGTCAAACTAATTAAGCTGAGATTTTATCTCAAATCATTCACGTTGAATGTGAAGGGATTTTTAAATGCGGGGTCCTTGGTACTTTCTGTTACATCATCAGGGCATCATCATTAGCGTTGCTAATGTTACTTATTTGGGCAATGAAATGTCTGCAAAACAAAAAAACAACCAAGCTAGAAGACTCCAAGGATCCCTCATTTCAACCGTGAGCTACAAATATTCTCCTTTATTTTTGAATGAGGATTTACATGAACAAAAGCCACTTCAAATTGAATCCTCAGCCAGGGACATTCATTGGATGATCTTGAAATAGGCGTTCTTCTAATTTCCCCTCCTGCAAAATAATTTAAGGGGAGGGGAAAATCTGCTGACCGACCTTGCTTCAGATCTCTTAAAATATGCTACATTTATTAGACACCCGAGTTTCTCTGATGCGTGCCTGCATCTTCCTCGTTAGGCCACTCGGCCTTCCAGACTGCTGCCGGGCTAAAGGGTTCGCACGCCCGCGGTAGCAAAGAATCATGGCGCCAATCGCTTCTTCCGCAACAGAGGCGGCCTCTTACCCAGGTACAGGTTTCCCCGGTGGTCTCCTCTTCCCCGAGGGCGGCTTGGCAAGCAGCCCGCAAGTAATCAGCGCCCAAAGACAGCTTGGCTGAGGAAGCAGCCAGCGCCCCCAGCAGGCCAGCGCCGATGGCGCATGTAGCCCCCAACGCCAGCGGCATAGGCCCAGCACTCCGTTTTCGGGAGTCTTTCGAAAAGACGGCGCTCGCGCGTTCGACTGAGGAATTGTTACGTAACAATGTGACTCCGCCTTGCTGTAGTTATTCTCCAAAGGAGATAGTCTGGTAACGCCTTACTATACTTATGTATGGATATTGCATCGTAAGACTGTCTCAAATGTCTGCAGGACTATCTACTTTATTTTAAATGTCAGAAATCTTATAAAACCAAAGGTGACCTTGAAGTTGTGCTGAAACAGTGCTCTCTAATAGAGATGCTGTGGGTTGGAATAAAGAAGGGAGATACATCTCTGTTCCTGCAGAGAAAAGTTGGATTTGAATGCACAAACAACATTGCAATCAAGAATAATGCATGCACTTAAGAAAGCCCTCCCTATCCAAAGATAAAAGCCAGAAAATCTTGAGGATTGTTTTAAGTTTCTTATAATATTTAGCATCTTATTACACTGCTTCATTAGTATTAATCTGAAGACAAAATGATAGTGGCTTAATTGATTATATGGGAAATAATTTTAAAACCATTATACTGGAAATCATGGAAAGTAAAGATTTTTCTCAAATGTTACAAATCTGGAGCAAAGCTGCATCAAGTATGGAAAACAGCGGTGCTCCATCATGACATCTTCAATCAAAGTATCACAAAACTCAGAAAACCTTTGATTTTATGGAACATCATATGCACACATGCAGAAGATCCTTGAAGATGTACAAAGTAATTTGTAGAGTGCAGCAACTCTGCTCTGGTACACCTCTTCAAATTTCATCTAATTATGGTTTGTTGAAGTCATTATCGTAAGGGCTTTCCCTCACTGCGGAGTCGACATGCCATCCACATACTTAGAAAAAAAATTATCCCAAGATGAAATTGGATGTCTCCAGTATGCTTGTCTAGTTGCCAAATAGATTGGCTGAAAAAGCTTAATAGATGTTATATACCTTGAGAATGCTGTTGGATATTTTCAGAATATTGGTACAGCTAAGGATGACTTAGGGTTATCTTGCGTATGTTGGAGACAAGATGAAAGCAAAATTATGAGGACAAAGAAAAAAGCAATGTATAACTTTTCTTCATCACAAAAAAGGAATGTCCAAAGACTCAGAGTGCATCAAAGCAGGGTTTGATCTGCTCTGTTAGTTAGGCCTGAAAATGGATTAGAAACTTAACACAGATGGTGAAGAACTGACATAAATGATTGTCCAGACTTAATGAATGCTTAGCTAACTATTAAAATGATTGATTCTGGACACTATACAACATCAGATTAATCCAAAAGGGAGATTACTAATCTGTATCTGAATTTACTCTATTGGAAATAAAAGCAAGGTATTTTTGTCTAAATAGGATTGTGGGTGCTTATCATCCTAAACTAATAAAAGTATTCTGAACTAGAGAAACTATCTGTGGTAAATGGGCAATGGATAAGATGTATTTTTTAAACTCTTAAGATGTAAACTTTTGCAACAATTCTCTTGAATGTTTTGAGTACCAATCAGTTTGAAAGAAGGCCAGAATCCATGTAGAAACTTCCTTAGGTATGTATCGCTTTTGTATTCCAACTTTTATATTAAGAAAGGTAACCTATGTTATTTTTTAAAGAAAGCAGTGCAAATGAAGAATATCCATCTTTGTAGAAAAAAGAGAGTATAACCAGAGGAAGTGTTGGGAATCAGTGTTTTGTAACTGGTGATATTGCTCAGATACTCCACATTTCATAGCCATTGCACAAGAGTGTACTTATCCCTATCACAATTTCAACATTCTAAATTTGTTAGGCAGTCAGAGGATTAGGAATCCTTGAGTCCAAGATAATGTAATGCTGACATTTTAAAGATAACTTCATTAACTTGAGCCTAATGAGCCATGCATTTCTTGACCTTTTCAATTTCACAATTCGTCTGGATATTGACATTTGTTGTTAGTCATCATTTCAAATTCTTCCTGTTTCTTAAATCACATTATTCCTTAAATAATGGGGAATTATTTCTCCTCCATTCATTATTTAGTTCAACACATAGTAAAACTGATTTATGTGTAAGTTTTCAATATCTGTAACTCATATTTCTTCCTTTTTTATATCAAACCTGAAATTTGGTTCATTTATCATTCAGATAAATGATACCTTAATATAATTTATTGCTATATTCTCAAATGATTACTAATTTAATTATTTTATTTTGGATTTAAGAATTTAATTTTTTAGTCAACTATAACCAAATTTTATAAATGCTTTTTTTTACTGAAATGTAGCAATTTTATGAACCAATTAATGCATTTTATTTGATAATACAGTTTGATGTATTTTCATTAAGAATTAAGTAGGTCAAAGAGACTATGAATATTCTTTAGCACTATGCATTGTTATGAAGAAGATGGTAGAGGACAGGAAGACCTGGAGGAACGTTGTCCATGGGGTCGCGATGGGTTGGACACGACTTCACAACTAACAACATTGTTATGAAAGGCACATGTAGAATAGTTTTATAAAATAATAATATACTTTTTGAAAATTGAATATTGGAATATTCCAGAGAATTCTAGAGAATATTCCCTGAGAAAAAAGGAGTTAATCTGTTAACTGGTTAAACACGCATCAACCTTTGTAAAAATAAAGAATTTTACCAATTGCACATGTGTAAAAATGTGAATAATTTATTCTGTTTCCGCTATGCAAAAAAAATAAATATTCCAGGCATTATCCATATTTTTTTTTTACTACAGATGTGTACTCTAGAGAGCTATTATATTCAGCATAAAAAAGGGAAATCAGCGCTGTGGTTTCATACTGATTTTAATTTTATTTATTTTATTGTGTGCTGCCCACCTCATCCCAAGATGACTTGGGCTGCTTACAAACATTAAAACCTGATAAATATTAAAATGATAAAACAATAAACAATAATAATGATGATTTACAGTTGGAAGATTGGGGGAAGGGTGTATGAGCTCATGAGGAGAGGTGGGATCTTCTCTTAATCCGAAAGCCCCCTCAAAGTGATGCACGCCTGCTGGGGCCATAGGCCAATTGACAGAGCCAGGTCTTCATGCCTGTACAGAAGGTCAGGAGGTTGAGTGTAGATCTCACCTCAGGAGGGATACAATATTCCAAAAGGCAGGAGACATGGCAGAAAAGGCTCTTCTCCCAGTCAAAATTCCTTGTTTGACAACATACCCTTTTACTACCCAAATCCCATTGGTGTGAAACAGCTCCTTAGACAGCCTGGATCCATGCCATGAAGGGCTTTAAAAGAGAATTGGAAATCTACAGGAAAGAGATGCAATCAACTTGAAGTACGGTTAATATTTCTGCAATAGTAATTAAAAATCCCTCCCAATCTTAAATTGGGGTGAACATTTTACTATTATGTCATTACTTTGCCCTTTTAGCTTACTTACCATGCAAAATAGAACCCCTGTCCAAAACAGGACTTCTGTCCATAAAAGATTTCCCAATTCAAATGTAAATGCTGCTGAATGGGTTGGTAAACAAAGCTATTTTCCCATCTTCCCATTTTCACATAATACATTCTTATGCATCATAAGCTATTAAATATTTGCATGAGCAAAGAAAAACTCAATTTTGCTATTTTTTTTCTAAGTAATAATTTATCACTTCTATATATGAATTGAAACAATTAGAATAAAGACACAAGCAGAATCTAATGGATTTAGAACAAAACATTAATGATTCATAATCAACCAGATTATGAATTAATGGATTTATAACAAGATAAATTAGATTAAAACAGAAATATTTTGAGAAAAGTAATTACAATAGCCCACATGAAGCCAGTGTGATGAAGTGGTTAGAGACACCAAGCTAGAAACTGAGAGATGGTAAGTTTTATTATCCCTGCCTTAGGATCCAGCTGGATGACTTTGGGCCAGTCACTCTTTGGCAGGCAAAGGCACAATGGCAAACCATTTCCAAAAAGGTTGCAAAGAAAATGCACGGAGTCAGACCTGATTCAAAAGCACACATAATTACACCCTACCTCCCCCTACTTCAGATAAACTGTTGATCTATCAACTGAGAAAAGAACACAAGAAAGAATTATTTTGGTTTAGGAGGAAAAGATTGAGAAAATAGAGAAAAATTGAAAGGACTGAGAAAATCAAAGAATACCAAAAATAAATGAATATGTACTTCATTGATTATAAAAAATACTTCAATTGTATTGATCATGTCAAACTGCAGAAAGTGCTCAGAAAAACAGGAATACCAGAACTTCTCACTGTTCTCATGAAAAACCTATAGATTAGGAAGACGGACAGAACATGATCTGCCTGTCTGTATTCATGTCAGAAGCATCTACAAAGCTAACTGAAAGGTGCTTCTGGGAAACAACCCGGCTCCAGATTGGTAAAGAACTGCAGCAGATTCTATAATCTCCCCTTACTATTCACCCTATGCTGTACAGTATCTGAATATATATTTAGAGAAGCTGAATTGGAAGAAGATGTGGAAAAACTGGAGGAAGAAATATCAATAACTTCTGCTATGCTGATGATGGTACCCCAATAGCTGATCTGCAAGTCCTAGTATTAAAAGTCAAAGAGAACAGGGAAAATTTGAATAAAATTAACCATAAAGAAGGCCAAACTCATGGCAACAGGTAGAATAATCAGTATTAGAATTGATGATGAAGATAATGAAATTGCTGGATAGTTTCTGTTTTTTAGGATTAACCATCGACAGTCAAGAAACAAGTGGTCAAGAAGTATGCTGCAGACTAGCATTTGATAAAGCAGCCACAAAGACTTTGAAAAAGATATTCAAGTGCTGTGGTGAAACAAATACAAAGATCAATATTGTGCAAGCCATGACATTCCCTATTAACCTATAAGGAAGTGAAATTTGGACTTTAAAGAAGCAGGATATGAAGAGTATTAACCATTTTGAACTTTGTGTTCAGGAAGATTCTTGAGAATATCATGGACAGTCAAGAAAATACACCAATGGATCATTGAACAAATCAGCTCAGAGTTCTCACTTGAGGCACAAACGACCAGGT